AGCCGGGGGCTGCGGGTCGGGACTGAGGGGCACCAGCAGAGCTGCGGTGAGGACGGGGAGCCCAGGGCTGGGAGTTGGGGCTGAAAGGTGTTGGCAGAGTTGAGAGGCGCCCAGGGCAGGGGGATGAGGAGGGAAATGCGCGGCTGGAGGTGGGACTCAGGGACTGTGTCCTGCATCATAATAAATCGTGCTGTTTGCAGGGCAGGCGCTGCTGGCGAGCGAGCGTGACGGACGGGAGTTGGACTGAGCCAGCACAAAAGGCAGGCGCGAGGGAGCCGGGGGCAGCGCCTGTCGGCACTCGCTGGCCTGGCAGCTGCTCTGTCCCGTGGCTCGGGGCAGCGATCGTTCCTGGAGCAGAGGCCCAGCGCGGCCCCTGCTCTCAATAGCTCTTTGTGTGCCGCTCTGCGAGCTGAAACGCCCGTTTCCCGTTAGCTGGGGGAGGGGCAGGTGCCGTCTCTGAGCTACCTGGGCCGGAGGTGGATGCAATGCTCGAGTCAGCAGAGCCTGGCTGCCCGTCGGAGCCTCCTCTCCCAGGGCCCGTGGCTGTCCCTGCTCCGGGCCTGGGCTGCCCATGCCCGTAGCTAGTCGAGCCAGGCTCTGCCGTCCAGGGCCCCGGTAAGAGGTCGGGGAGCGACGGAGCCGCTGCTGAGGCTGGGGTGGGAGCAGGCGCTGGCACTGCGTGAACCCTGCAGGAGCTCGCCGTGGGCAGCAGATCTCCAGGTGAGTGTGCGTGACGCGGGGTGGGCGCCTCTGTCTGTCCCGCCATCCAAGGGGCTGCAGCCTTGGCATTAACTGTGCTAGCAACTTCCTGCCTGCCCGGCTCCTCCCAGGCTGGGCATGGACTTGCCAAGATCCGTGCCCCATACGTGGCATGGACTAGCCTGGTCTCCCCTGGCGCTGCTGCTTTGGCCTGATCCCGGGAGCTGGGTTTGGGGTGCTGGGGGGCCGGTGACACAGCCGGTCAGAGTGGCTGGGCTGGTCCCTGCTGGCCGTAAGCTGGGAGTGACTCTGTGACATGCTGCTCGAATGCCCCATAGCTGCTGGGGAAGTGTTACCCACCCGCCCCGATGTAATGGGCATGTGGCTCGGGGGGCTGGCCCAGGAGACGGGGGGGCTGGCCCAGCTCTGTATTGGATTCTCCCCCCCACCCCCCGCCAGGGTCAGGGCCCTGCCGTGCCAGGCGCTGCACAGCACACGGGTCCTGCCGTGGCCTCCCTCCGCGGCGCTCACCCGTCAGCGTAACGGCAGCGACGCTGCCTGTCCTGGGGGGCGCGAGGCTCCCTGGGCCGGGAGGCCGGGGGTGGGGGGCTGCAAAGGGCTCAGAGTCAGGCTGATGCTCCTGGTGCTGGGCCTGTCCTGGGGCCCCGGCTGTGCTGACTCGGCTCTGACAGCCAGGTCTTGCCAGCTGCTCCTTCGTAATCCTCTCCCCTGGGCCTGGGGGAAGTGCTGGTTGCCATGGTGTGAGAGCTGGTTGCTCTCCCCCCTGCACAGGACGGCCGGGCCAGAGCTGTCTGGCTCGGGGGCTGCTGAGGGGAGCCCAGGGGAGCTGACCCCAACCCCAGTGCTGCAGGGGGGCTGCCAGCCACCGAAGGGGGGAAGCTCTGCCTCGCCCAGCCCAGCCCCTGTAGGGTCACCCCCCCACCCCTGCTGGGAAGCCTCTGAAATGTCAGGACGGGGGGAGGGCAGGAGCCCCCAGTGAGCAGCGGGGATGGGTGACGCGGGGGCTCTGACGCTAACCACAGAGACGCCTGGGGCTGGGCAGGGGGGCCAGGTCCTCCGTTCGGTTTCTTTCTTTAAGAATCGGGCCCCGCCTTGCTCCCTGACCCCTCCCCCCCGTAATTACCGAACACAATAGTAATGTGGGGCCGGGCCATGGGCATCAGGCACCAGGGTATAGGGTGCCGTACTGGGGTAACAGAATATGGGGTGCCAGGGTGTGTGTGTGTGTGTGGCAGGGCACAGGCTGCAGGGGTGGAGGGTGCCAAGGTATAGGCTGGGGTCATGAAATTCTGCACTGGGGGGGGGGTACCAGCACATAGGCTGGGGGTGTGGGGGTGGGGTGCTTGGTTGGGGGGGCAGGGCATGGGCTGGGTGCTGTGCTGGGGGGGTGATGCTAGGGGATTGGCTGGGTGGGTGGGGGGTGCTGCGCTGGGGGTTACAGGGCGTGGGGGGTGGGGGGGCGGGGCATCGGCTGGGTCCATGGGGTGCCAGGTTGGGGTTGGGGGACACAGCTGTGCTGGAGGCCACCAAAGCACAGAATTTGTTCCCTGTCTGTGCCGACCAGGCTGGCAGCCGACCCTGTTCAACAGTGGGGTTCAGCGGTGGGGGGTGACTCTGCCCCTCGCCCCGTCCCTTCAGAGCAGCAGGGGAGGAGGGAACTCTGGCCATCCCACGGCTGGGCTCACCCCTGGGAGGGCCCCTCTGTCTCACCCCACGGCAGCGAGGGCAGGAGGCCTGGGGAGGGGGGATGAGCCGAAGGGGCAGGAAGCCCCCGCCTGTCCCTGCTGAGTCCCCCGGACTCTCTTGGCTGCCCCTTCGGCAGGGCCCATAGTCGCCCCGTCCTGCCGTGTGCCGGCAGGGGCTGCTCCTGCCATAGGCGCATTCAGAGCCCAGGGCGCCGGTGCCCCCCCTCCGGCAGCTGCCTGGCTGGGGACTGGGGGGTGATGGTGAGTAGCCATGGCAACAGTGCCCAGCGCATCCCTGGGGCCAGCTGTGGGTGCGGCCAGCGGCTCCGAGGCGGCTCCTGGCGCTGGCGAGGGGGCCAGGCTCTGTGCGGCCCTGGGCCCAAGCATGGGGGTGCGGGGGAGTGAGGCCTCTGCACTGCTACCCCGTCCCTCCCAGCACTAGGGGCCGAGTGTGTCGTGTTTCCCCTCGTGGCTGTGTGCGTTTCCCCGTGCGCGTTGCTGGAATCTACCGGCCGTGCCGGGCAAGGCCCTGCCTCTGGGCGGCTCTGCCCCTTGCGGTCAGCAGCTGCGCACGCCCCGGGCAGCCCAGGGTCAGACTCCGACCGTGAGTCCAGGGAGCAGAAGAGCACTTGGGACTGAGCCTTTCCCAGGCTGGGGATCTGGCTCCTTTCTCGGGGTCTCTGGGGTCGTCGTGGGACCCGCTGGCCCCGGGGCGCTCCCATGCCCGCTGTCCAGGAGGAGCAGGAGCGGTGGAGCTCTGAGCAGACCCGGGGCAGCAATTGAAGGGACTGGGACCCGTCCTGCCAATCCGAGGGCCCTCGGGGCAGCAGCATTGTTCGGCGGCGCTGCCAGCCCCTGCCGGAGCCTGCCTGCCACAGCCCTGGGGCCAGCCGGAGCTCGGCCTCCTGAGGAAACATTTGGCTCCATTTGCTTCTAATCACACTAATTGCTCTCCGGCTGCAAAGCCCTTGGGACAGGGCAGGCGCTGCGTGTACCGACAGCCTGCTCCCCCGGGCTCGGGGCCCCTCCCCAAGGAGGCGCTGGCGCAGCCGGATGTTAGCAGTTCTTGCTGCTCAGGCACCAGCCTGTTGCCCTGGGGATGCCCCTGCTCCGGTTTAATTAGCTGCGAGCCTCCCCTCGTCTGCCGGAGACAACGCGTCCTGCTTGCCAAGCGTCTGCTCCCGAGCCGCTGCCGTGGGCAGGCCCCAGTGGGCGTCCCACACGCCGGGGAACTCGCAGGCCGGGGCAGGCTGTCGCGTGCCAATTAGTTTGAAAGCCTCAGAGATGGGGAGTGGTACGTCCCCTCCTTTGGCTTGGGTTGGGCTCGGTGTCCAGGCCACCCCCGTGTTCTGGTGAGTTATTCGGTCAGGGCAAAGGCCGCAGAAGGGCTTTCACTGGGGGGGCTGCATGTCCTGCACCCAGCCGAGGCCCTAGGGAAGGTCCCTCCTGACAGAGCCCAGGACAGGGTTAGCCGAATGTGTGGGAGCTCGCTGGTGCAGACGGGGTGGGGGGGATGCTCTGCTCTGGGAATTGCGCTGTGAAGATTCTGTGTAGGAGGAAGTAGTTCGCTGTGAGAGGTGAGATTTATCCGGGGTTGTGGTTTGTGGTGAAGGTTAGAGATGTTCTGAGGTTGCATTGAACCAGCAAAGCTCAAGGATATTCGGGGCTAATTTGGCTGCTGGTGACTTTGGGGCCGTGTTTGATCAGGGTCATGTTCGCATGGGTGGCCATTTGGGATGGTTTAATTTGAACATAGGGGACGGTGATTTAGTGGAGGCGCTGACCTGGCTTGTGATGGGGGTGAGGCTGGGAATTCTAGTGGGACTGGGATAAGATTGGGGGCCTGATTACTTTTTCCGCTAACTACGCCATACAATTAACCGAGCCATTTCTCCAGCAAGCTGGGAAGGAGAAAGAAGTGCTGCTGCTGGTGGTTTTCTAAATCCCTGGCAGGTACTGCGATGGCAGGCATCTCATTGGTGCTAGGGGGTGAGGGCCTGGGGTTGTGGGCAGGTAGTGATCATCATGCTTTGGGCATGAGTTCTGGTTTTGGCTGGCTGGGCCTGTGACTGGCTCCTAGGTGGTGGGTTTGCTCTGAATTGTGTTTGTGGGACTCTCTGAATGTCTGAGGCAGGAGCCTCGCCATGGTTAACTGGGGCGTGGATTGTCTGTGGTGTGGGTTTGTGCTGTGGTTGTGGCTGTGCTGGAGGTGCTGCTGTTGAGAGGAAATGTAAAGCCGTTATCCTGAGCCATTTGTGAGTAAAGATCCCCTGGCCGGGGAGTAAATGGGCTGGGGCCGGGGCCCGTGGAACATATGGAGCGTGAGCGCCATGCGGCTGCCCGAGATGCAGGTTCCCTAGCGCTGTCTCTGCAGCCTGCGTTTCACAAGTGGTCCTTGGGGAGCTGAACAGACAGGTCTGGCCCCCCCCTCGCTCTGGTGCACGGCTTAGAGCCCACAGTCACTTAATGGTCCTGGCTGGGGGTTTCCTGGCTCCTTTTGCTTCTGGGTCCTAGTGCTTGACGGCAGCCCGACGACTATTTCAGAGTAATTGTGCCGTGCTGCTCCAAATGCCCTCCAGGCTTTGCCGGCAGAAGCTGCCCTGCCACTCCGCCTGCTCCTATGTAATTGTGCCACCTGTCACCTGGGCTGCCCCAGGCCGCTGCTGGCCCCTTCTTCTGCCCTCCTCACAACTGCCTCTGCAGCGATTGATGCAAACCCTCGTGGCCTCGGCCCCTGCTGAGACATGCTGGGCACACGCACGCCTGTGCCAGAGGCACGTGTGGCCCCAGGCAGACGGACCCCCCACACCAGCAGCTGACGGACTTGGGCAGCGTGACGCTCGTGATGTCGCACCATTGTTTATTTCTAGTGCACAAAAGCATGCCAGGCCCCTCCTGGAAGGGAGCCTGCTTCATGGAGGGCAGGGTGGAAGGCCATGAGCTGTCGGGAAGGGGCTGGCAGGGGCGGGGGCACCATGCACAGCTGGGCCATGGCGGCTCCAGTGGGGGGGGGGTGTTTTGTTGACCGTGTGTAGAATGAGGAAGATGAGACGGTTACAGGCAGAGAATGTGCCTGCTAATGGGACGGAGCTTGGCCTCTCTGTGCAGCGGATTCACGTATGGGCCAGGTCGTTTCTGATTGATGGCTGTGCAGTGCCAAGAGACTGGCACTAGGCTGGCCCTCATTGGCAGCCTCCGCACAGAGGTGAGGACTGAATGAACCTCTCTTGTCCTAGGGCAGGGCCCCCCAGGACAGGGGAGAAGCCGCATGTGGAGGGGACTTGCCCTGTCTTGGCTCCGGAACTGACCCCAGGT